TTTCTTACAGTGTTGTTGTTTTACACCCCCATCTAGTACACAGTTTAGATAGTTTAGGAGGCGGGCTTCTGATCTTCCCTGTCAGGGGCAACGTGGACTAAGAGACCTGGCAGAAAGACCAAGATACTCAAAACAAATTTTCTTCCCACTTGGGAATTGAACTACCATCTCCTGCGTGCGACAGTGAAGCACCTAACCACTACACCACAGACGCAAGCACATTCCCTTCGCAGCTCAATTACTGATGTACGCAAGTGAATAATGTCTGGTGATGGAAAGCCAAGCCTCACATCTTTATTTGCTGAACAGGATTGTGTACCCTTGTCAGCCGCAGGATTATGTCAAGCCAAAAGCTCACCTACAGATTAAACGCGTGCGAGGAAATGTGTTTATAAAGTCATTGGCTGTTGAGGGGAAGTCAAAGTGATGTTGAAGGGTGCAATAACTCACTGTCAAAGCATTTCTTCATGCATTTCCAAACACAAAAATAGTGGTGGGCTCTACTTTTGGCTCTTCATCTAAAGGCATGACTTCTGACACTGTGACACTTTGGTTCACTCTTTGCACATTTTCTACAATGTATAAGACATTTCCACTTTGTGAATCTGAGCAACAAAAAAAAAAAAATAGATCCTCATTATCTCCTTTTTCTACAATATATTTTATCTCCCAATTTGTAAATTGGGAGTAAATTGGGAGAAAAAAAATCCAAATGAGAGCTAGCTTTTTTCTTTGACTACAGAAGAGGCTTTGTTAGAGGCAACAGGGATGAAAAAAACCTAACATCTTGTAACAGTCAGCAGCGACAAAGTCAATATAATCTGTAAGTTTAGAACAAACTGTGATAGGTCAGAGAGTCAAGAGAATGCAAAAAGAATAAAAGAACTTTGAGCACTTGTGCCTGTTAGTTCTAGGCCAGAATACAAGTGGAGCACAGAGTCAGTTATCATGGTGGGTATGAAAAATGTGCGTTGATAGGGGGTAATATGGTACTTTATATTGGAACACATATGGGTTTCTAAGATAAGGGTCTATTATGCAGGGGAATGTATTGTGCCGTGAACCAAGTTATCAATTTTAGCGAACTAGTAACACAGTTTGTCGCCATCTTTCATCATTGTCGTATGTCAAAATACTTTGTAAGTTTGTTTGTCTGTTTGTTTGTTGAGTAAACAGAAGTACATCAACACAATAATGTCATTTAGGGCTGAGAAAAAGTAAGGCAGACAGACAGAAACAACAGAGGGAAAGTAAAGAAGTAGGACTTACCATTGGCCCCTCCAACCACTCGCATGTAAAAAAATACGAGATTTCATTTTGGGCAGGACAAAGTCTTCATACTAAATTTTCAATTCCTCTATTTACTATTGCAAGATGAAGAATGAGAAAAGGACCAGTCAATGCGCCCCATCAAGCTCAACAACGCACTTGGTTTTTATTTCATCTAAAATTTGACATACTACAATTTTGAGAGAAGGTAATGAGTTACTCCCTTATGGTGATGATACTGGATTAAGCTAGGCATTTATTATGTATTGGCTCTCAATTCAAAGTCAAAGATTTGACTGAATAGTAGGCTATATATATGAATGACTGAACAGTAGGCCTATATACACACATATGTGTGTGTATATGTGTGTGTATATATATATATACATATATACACACACACACACATATATATGTATATATATACACACACACACACACACACACATGTATATATATAAAAGACTGAACAGCATATATATTAAAAAAACATGCACATTATTTCTGAATGTTGGTAATAGATAATAATATATTATACATTGTTCAATGCTTTATTAAAGCCTCATTTGAATTTTTAAGCCTTTCTCTCCCCTCCCTTCCCCTAGTTCACCCAAAAAGACATTTATGCACACAACCAGATAAAAACAAACAACACAATCAGAGATAAACAAACAGGCACACGACTGTAGCTCAGTTGTGCGCAAGGTGTGGCAAAGATTATGGCTGATTGTGCACTGGTCAGAGAGAGACGAAATCCCAACAACAAGATAACAGACTGCAAGTCCACGTTATAGTGATGAAAAAGTCCTCACTTTTCACCTTGAGCATAAGGACATACTGTTGAAGAATGCAGAAAAACTAGCCTCATCTATAACAGAAATACATTATAACGGTGCCGATTTAGTTGAAGATCTATCACGATATTTTTGGTTGAATTTTGTCAGTCAACCATGGACTTGGTCCAACTACCGGTTTCGTTGAAAGTCTATCAGATTATAAAGGCTTGGGACTTGTGTGGGACTTTTGACAAGGCTCTGTTTACATTTCTCTTTGTGTTTACACAGGCTTTGGACTCTCGTTGACCGTATTAAAAATGTTTTGGTGGTTGTAGTTTGCCAGGGAGGAGCGGGGCTGGCCCCTTCCCGATATTTTAAAAATTGTCCTATTTGGTCACTTGCTGTCATGACTTACAGGCCAATCAAAACCTTTACCATCGCAAAAATGCTTTGGTCTAAAAGAACCCGCAAAATTAAGCAATTCACACACCCACACACAGCAATAGTGTAATCATACCCCTTCAGTCTAAAAGCTCCTGGTGCTGTCGTTACCATGGCCAATCAGATGGGACTTATGCTACACTAGACCACAGTAGTCGATCAGGCTGGACTATCAGTGAACTGCCTTAGTGCGGCAGCCCTTCAACTAAACTGGCACCCACTTATATATGTCACACGCATCACGCATAGTTTTGAAAACAGAAGTTTGCCTTCTTTGGTGAAAGTAAATTATACAGCCCCCATTTTAAATTGTCTGATCTAGCCGTGCAACAACCGGGGTGACCGTGGTGGTCACAGTAGGGCTGCCGCTATGTGTTGTAGGAACAGGAAACAGCTGGCAGAGATCAACGACGTCTGGTGGTAGGGGAGACTATACTTTACTTTTACCCCTTTTGTCAGCTTTTTAAGAAATCTGTACTGTACGGGATCAATCTTTGAGACAGGGGCATTTTGACATGTTGAAATGTATAAAATAACAAATATCTGCCAGAGTAAAGAATTTTTATATTGATACCTTTTCATCTGTCAATTAGCGTCTGGCTGATAGAAAACTACCTCCTTTTTCTTCCTGATAATTCAGTGCTCTTTCCTCACACTCATGTATCAGTGCTAGGAATTATTTTTGCCAAAGTGCGCAACTGATGGATCGGTGCTATGGGCTCAAAGGGATAAAAAAGAAGTATAAATTCATTGTTCATACAGATGTTTTTGCTCCATTACCTTTATCTGAAACGTAAAAATGCAGGCAGATAACAACATGCAGACCGTGATGTACACAAATTCATGTTTCTGATTTGTGTACCATGGTATGAATGTGCTGCTACATTATGCCTGGTCTGCTGTTGATCGGACATATACAGACTTCAAAATAAGTTAAGGACCACCTTGACAGACAGCCCTGGTTTTTTGAAAATCCGAAAAAGAAAGAAAGACAGCAAGGAATGTTTTAAAATCTTTTGCTCTGAAAGTGTTAATGGGTTAACAATGCCACCACGGACATTCCTCAGTTAAAATTTCTGGCGCACGTCATAAACGGACGTACGGTCTCGAACTGTGCTCACTTTGGTGGCAAAAAAGCCCCCTTTTGCTCAAAATCCAGTATCGCATAAACATACCATCAAAACGAATCGAAAGCTGAGAGACTTTGATCGTGCCAGAGCTATGGCATGGCTGCAGGATGGAGTTGGAGCCCGAAAAGTTGCCCGAAGGCTCGCAGTGTCACACTCTGACATTGTTTGCTTGAGGCAGCGTCATCAAGCTACTGGATCAGTCCAAGAACGCCCACGTGCAGGTCGACCCAAGAAGACCACTCAGAGTGTTTGCAAGTGGTCCTTAACTTATGTTGAAGTCTGTGTATGTCCGCTAAGTCCTTCAAGAATTGATGAGAATCTGGCTTAAAGGTTTTCAACATTTTGTCGTATGGTAAAAAGTGTTTGATACGCTGTAACACATAAACTGCAGTCTCCGTTGTGCATGTGTCTGCCTTAATTATTTTGTTGTAAAGCACATTGATCATCTCTAGGAGATGAAAACGGGCAATGTAAATGCAATTTATCATTATTTATTATTATAACACGCAAGGGCAGAGAGAGCATGACAAGCATCTTTAAAGCGCACATGACACAAAGTATCAACATAGTCGGGACAAGTGCTGCAGTTCTCAAATACTACGTCACGTTGAAGGGTAAGGCTTACACCACATGTACACCAGAACTCAAGCTTGAGTTTATGAGGTATGTTCTAAAAGTTCAATGCTTTTGCTACTTTTCGTATTGAACAGAGCAGCATTACCGCCTTGGGGAGTCTAATATCGAGTTTTGAATCAAAACAAATAAATTGACATTGTAGGTACCACATGACTTCTTAAAAATTTAGACATACATCAGTTTTTGAATGTATATAGATATGCGTGCGTGTGTGTGTGTGTGTGTGTGTGTGTGTGTGTGCGTGCGTGCGTGTTGCATTATAGTGAAATCAGGCGCTCATCTACCTAATGTTAGTGAAGAAACTGACATTATCCCTCCCCCCCCTCCCCCATTTGGCAATTTTTTTCCCGGTTACTTCTTGTTTTGGGCTCAACACCTTCCAAAAAGTCCACTTTAAAATATTTTCTACACAGATTTTAATTCTAAAAATATTGATCAAAGGCACGAAAAATGTTAATTTGTTTTTTCCAAGGACTCTACAACTTTGGAAGTCGCCAAACTTTGGAAGCCATTTTCTCGCTAAATTTAAATCAGACACAGTGCAACCACTACCTCCTTCAATCACAAATATCTCGACCTCTATTCAAGATAAATGGGCATTTTTAAAATTGAAAGTAAAGCAAATGAACAGGCTTTATGATGATACCAATAACGCCATTAGGCCCAAAAATTGATAAGCGCCTGATTCCACCATGTTAAATACATACACATATATGTATAATCTTTGAAGTGAAATTTAAGACAAATATACAGGTTTACACTCTTTTTAATTTCAATTAATAGAATTTTGAAAAGACAGAAGTAAGAGTTTGTTTCAAGTGCAAAGTTCTCAAGAAGAGAAGACATTACCAAATACACTTCTTCAACCAACTTTCACAATGAGTTCACCAAGAAACATACACACTTTGTAGTCAATGACACAAACAATCACACATGTGACAGGTTCTCACACGGATACACGGGATATATACACGCGTGTGAACTCACACAAATACACGACATACACAAATAACGATCCTATCACACACAGTAAGAGTTCACATCTCAAGTGGCAGACACAACAGCAGCATCGTTCTCTCCATCTGTGCCTTTCCTCCTCAGTAGACCCAACTCACAGGCACCCACTGGGGAGTGGAGCATATGTCTTCAATGGCTTTTTCTAATGTTCGGATTGTTTCGTCGATGTCGTTGTTCACAATCTTCAAATCAAAGTAGTGGCCGTAGGCCTTCTCCAAAAGTTTGCTCTCATTGGCAAGTCGTTCCAGGCTGGAATCCTAAATAAAAGAAAAAATCCAGACTTATAATGGCTATCATAATGGTCAAGAAGGTGTAGTGGAGGCTTTGCCAGTTGGAATTTATATATAACACTCTCATTGTTACAAGATTTCTTTTTAAAAAAATGTCTTTACTCTCCATGCCCCATGAGCAATTTTCTTGTGTGTCAATTAATAATAATAATATATTGCATTTATATAGGGCATTTCCACAAAAAAGTGCTCAATGCGAGCGCTGTACAATAATACAAAGAACATATGAAGTGCACAGCTCCTATAGTAATCCTCTTTCTCTCTCTCTCACTAGTCTCACTCTGTCTCTCTCTGTCTCTCTTAATAACTGTCAAAGAATTATGAGATGGATTTACCTAGAGATGCAGACTGTCTTACACAGCACAACAAATCATGAAACAAAATGAGCAAAAGTACAGATACTTTTTCTTCGCCATGATTAACAGCTTAAACTCAGGTAATAAAAATATTCCTCAGCACTCTGACAATTAGCCGGCTCCACTTTGTTAACATGTGAAAAAAAAGTAGCAAGAATATGCAATCATGTGACAAGCAGATTCTCAGAATGACTTTTTCTTTCACATCTTACATTAAGTTTTGAAACACTCACTTTGCACATAGATCTTTCCTCAAACAAGCGAAAAATATCCAAAGTTTCATCACTACAAAAAATAAGTGAAAAAAAAAATGGTGCTGTGAGGTAACAGTTCATGCTTGTATTAGTTACAAATTACGTGTTAACTATATACTTTTGAGGATATGTGTCGGTGACAATTTTGCACAACTGCAAAATGTTTAAAGCAAAAGTTATACAAAACTGAAAGAAATGTACAGTAAAACTGAAAACTCAAGATTAAGGGTAGGAAAACATTAAATGGTATAGGTACAATATGCCCCTATCAACGCTATTAGTATTAGGTTATTTAAGAGGCGAGACCTCCGAGTTTAATGTCCATCTCCGAAAGGACCGAGACAAATGGGAAATTCAAGTAAAGGGCCTTTCCCAAGGACACAACGTTGAACCAAGCTGAGGCTCCAACCCTCAAACCCACAATCTCACGATTGCGAGTCCACTAACCTACCAAACAGAAAAAAACCCTGAGATTAATACTGGTAGAATCATTGAATATCTGGTCTTCCACTGTGGTGTCCATTACTACTGACTTTGCATATTATTCCAACCCCCCCCCAAAAAAAACCCAAAACCCAACTGTTTGAGACCGTGTTGTACAAAATCTATTTTTTTAAAAGTGTCGTAACAAAACCGGCCCTGTACTTGTAAGGGCATTATGAGAAATAAAGGGTGAGAGTGATCTATGCACCCTTAAGGAGGGGGGTGGGGGGGGGGGTGGTCTCTGTTACTGGAACAGGAAACGGTGGGCCATCTTCTTCTTCTCGTCTTCTTCTTCTCATCTTCTTCTTCATCATCGTCTTCTTCCTCTTCCTCATCATCTTCTTCCTCTGCTTCTTGTACCCTTACTAGAGCTAAGGAAGTGACTTGGCCAAGTGTAAGATATTCATCTCACAGAGCAGTTGATTGTACGTACTTGGCCCTTTTATTTATTAATAGAACATAAAATCATTCCCTACCTGACAGGAGGCAATATGTCATTTTTGGAGGTACTCTTAATATTTATACTGATTAGAGTAGTTTCAGTTTTTGGGTAGGAATGCACTTTTAAATTTTGTCCGAATGGCAGCCTAACAGGCCTACTTAAAATTTATTTTTAGAGCTACCAACACCCCCCGGGGCAGTTCCACTGACTGTAGTGTCTTTAGGCCATTCCCAAAGAGGGGACATTTCTCGTTCATGCACAGTAGAATTGTAAATGGGCTGATTCATCATGTCACACTCATAACTGTGCCTGATCTACAACAGGGAACTGCTGCTTTTTCTTTCCTAATCCTTACTATTGTCATTTTCCTCAACTTTTTTTGTATTTTTGTCACTCTCTTGCGACCTGCTATTTCCAGGGTGCCTTGATAGTTGAAGCAGACTTTGTGCTGTTGAAGCTAGAGAAATGAGCAGAGTAAGTCTGATTCCGTGTAAAGACTTCTCTATTGACACCCACCCCTTGGCACTCATATGACCTTATGCAGTTGTGAGCGCCGTAAAACCCTCTACTATAAAACTAAGAGCTACCAAGGAATCGTTAATATGTAAAACATTCACATGTAACCTCTGGAATTTTTCACTTTTCTTCAATAAGACGAGGCACTCGGTCCTACTTATCCTAGGATCACGGATGTGGAAAACATTAGCAAAAACATAATGCTTGAAGGGATTGAACTCTAACATCCTGAGTTCACAGGCAAACATAATATCCGTTGAGTCACTCAGCCTCTGACATGGGCTGTAGTTGCTGTGACATGTGAAGATATGAGGGCTTATAGTATACCTTACTTCACTTTTACTGAATATGTCCTATTTCGTTAGACAAAAAGTTACTCATTTTGTATCCTGAGCACTGGGATCTTTCCTGAAATCTGGCTGACCATTCCTTCTCGCTACTTACATTGATATTTTTTAGGGTCTCCCGCAGCTCTTCAGGTCGAGGGGCGGCAATAAACACAACATATGGGGCATAATCAGCAGCACGTAGAACTTTCAAGGCCTGTAACAAGGTGCAACAGAGCTTACACAGAGCTACACACAAGCAAACAAACCACAATGGTAGGCAAAGAAAAGAACACTGACACGTATACACAAGCTGAGATCATGCATGTAAGTGAGAAGCAATCTCTAACAAACTTATCTTAATTTAAAAAAACAACCCGAACCACACAAACAAAATCAAATGAAATAAATGCATTCACTTTAATAAATTATCAAGACTGCACGCCAAAGCTTCCTTTTATCAACTGTCTACAACTTTCAGTAAACACTGTTGTTTTTTTTCAGCACTGAGTAGTTTTTCTTTTTAAATAAAACAGAACAACAATAGTTATTCTGCGACAGGAGCACAATATGAGAATAATAACCCTGAAATGAAGTAGAAGGTTCAGACCACAGCAAAGGACCCACTAATCATCTGACTTCTCTTCATGAAGCTCCCTGACCAGCTGTCTCATTAGCTGATGGGCTTTTGAAGGAAAAAACTACCAACAAGACTTGTCCGACAAGCAGTCATGATAGAAGAACAAAATTGTACAACATTAATCTAAGACAAAACACAGACTGACAGCTCAGTGTAAAAGACTCCACCATATCCCACTTTGAAAGGTGACGTATGGTGGAGTCCTGCACTGAGCAGTCTAGATGCAAACTGCACATCAGACTCTTCATATTTGAAAAGTCATAGCCAACTTCCTGAAAATGAAATAAAAAAATGACAGACAACAATGATTACAAGATACACTATTAATGAACTGCTAGGTGTAAACTGCATGCTATGCACTTCTTGATGAACTGAAATGTAGGCAAACAAGAACAAATTAACACAGTAGAAATCATAATACCACGCACACAAAGTTCTATTCCTTTTAGGGCACTTCAAAGACACAAGCTATCATTCCAAATAAGTATGGAACTAGTAAGCTAGAAAGAAAGAGTGGAAGGTTGGAGGGCACCGCTTGCAGGAGATCTTTCTTTCCTTATGTTGTTTCTATCTATCCTGCTTTTTCCCTGCACTGCTGGGCCATTATCTTGCAGATGGGCTTCTCTACATTTAAACTCAAGCTGAACTTAACATAAAAAAAATAAATAAAAAGGAAAGACTCAGAAATCAACATCGGAATTGAATCAACACCGGTATTGAATGGCCCTTTATTTTGAAAGCGTAAAGAATGAAATCTTCTATTTTAAATCATTGGCCTTTTCTTTATCCGCAAAGCTGACGAAAAAAAATCTGAAAGCATAAACCTGCTTTTCAGTGACACTTCGACTCTCTGCATTTCTTCGGCACACAGAAAAAAATTAATCTTATCTGGTTGATATATTACAGGAATTCTTCAATTCCTTGAGGGTTAAATAATTGTCCACCTGTCTCACCTTTCTGTTTTCCTGGCTCATCTACAATTTTATCTGGATAGACAACTGTCTGCTTTTGTCATTTAAAAAGCAAGACCCCTCCCCACCACCCACACACACACACACACCAATAACACACAGGATGAAATAAAGAACAACACGGAGGTAGGAGGGGACTATGGGGTGCAGTTAGGGAGACAATATCATCATGCAGTGTGAGCGAGGCACAATGGTCGGGGGCCGTCGCCGTGGCTACCTCCTGGAGTCCTGGAAGAGTGGGTGCTGCAATAAAAACTATGATGGGAGTGAAGGTGGCTGTCCGTAGAACTTTGATAGCCTGAAGGAAACACAAAATGTTCTTTTAAGTTAGAGAGTCAATAAGATCAGTTAAAGTCTTGTATTCTCTCAGACAGAAGTTTGTTATCAAGTCTGCTATTGTAATATTATAGATTGCACAGCGTATAGAGCTACCTGTTGAGCGAGAATTTGCATTATACAATTGCTATTTATTATCATTATTATTATTATTAATAAAAGAATGTTATGTGCACCGCCAAATATGGTCAAAACTGTCTAAAACAACCACCCATTGTCGAAGAGCAAAGTGTCCATCTTAAACAGTGTCATTATAAAGTAAAAAATAAAATCCACAAGAGAGGAAATGGGAAAAGGTGATTGTCATATATACAAGTGGCTGTTAAAGAAGATTTGACTGTACCAATTTGCTACTGGGAAAAATGAGGAAAATAATGTAAATAGGCGACCTTTCCAAAAATGCAACGACTAATTAATAATAATAATAATAATAATAGTCGATACCCACTCAACAGCAAACTCCATTCGCTTTATAATCTATATTATTGTTGGACAAAAACACTGAACCTATGATTTTACAATAGTAAAATGAATGACACAGCCTCTCCATCTTCACCACAACGCTGTTAAGCACTCTCATATGTGGTGGAGAATGTTGCTGGAGAGTTCTGCTTCTGTTCTGTTTGTTCAATTCTTTCATCTGTCACTTGTAGTCTATCTCAACACTCACTGAATCACCAAACCAGCAGTGCTTTTCGATAGCTGAAACTATAACTACTTCAGCTATTCTTATCTGATCATCACATTACTACCAGTCTTCATAAAGATCAGCCGAGGATCCTATAAAATATACAATAAACCTGCTGATGTTGCGAGCTCAGATCTACCAGAGCAGTTCACTGAGCAAAAAGCACCGATCTTCACATGCTGTTCATTGGATGGGAAGTGAATAAACAAGTTATCAACATTTTTCAATCGACTGAAGACCCTCAAGACCATGTAATTTTACCAACGTGCAATTATAGAAACTTAACTTATACTTACCTTAAAATGGCCACATTTAAAGACAACTTCCCAAGAGAATTATATTGTTATACTTTTCTGGAAAGTCTCAACAATCTAAAACATAGTATTCTTCTCCGAATCGCATTTGCTTCAATATCGTCAATGCTCATAGATGAACTAAGATTTACATCTAATCATCACATTTGTGCACTATGTCAACAATAATGGGTTATAGTAGTTAAGTATAGTCCACCTTTTCGAACTGCTAAACCAATTATGCAACATCTGTGGTCACTGTGGGATTGGAGCTACGTTTTGTTTTTAAAGGAAAAGGAAAAAGTGGGCTGTGATTGACATAATGAGCAAAGACATGGAGAAAGGTGTGTGTGTGTGTGTGTGTGTGTGTGTGTG